ATTGTGTTGTTAAGGGAATGGTCTTATAATCAATACTTATGATTCAATCTTTGCAAGATATAAAAAAAAATTGCACTGATATGTACGTATAATATTTCTTTTATGATACTTCTTGTGATTATTTTTGCGTGATACTTTCTATGAAGTATTTTTTAAAGTAGAATGATCGATATTGATTTGTTTTAAGTTTTATGTGTTATTTTTACAGGCCAATCAGACGCCACGTGACCTCTATATAGAGAATGAATGTGAGAAGTATGATTCAAAAAATAGAGAAAAACACAAGGAAGAAGTCTTGCAACTTCTGCAAGGTGAGCAGTTCCTACAATTTAGTTATTCATGTTATTGTTTATGATTAGGTAGTTCAATGTAATTTTATTTCCTGATTATATTAATTGGATAATATTGATTTATTATTATCTGTTGTAAACAATGTCTTGCAGTCAAGCTCATTGTACAGATTTTTACTCGTTGTGGGTCATCTCATTTAATATTTGTCACAAAAAAAGAAACAGCAAGGAACAGCACAAACAAAGATGAGACGGGACGCACCAAAAGTGAACTTTTAAAGTTGGGGTCCTGTACATAAACAAATACTTACAATAAAGTAAATATTTAACATTCAGTGTTAAAATATTCATCAAGCCCATGACCTACTTCGGTATTTCATATCACCCAAATAATTTTGATCTAGAATATCATAAGAGTCAACTTCTAAATGTTATTATTATTATTTGTTTTAATACAGTATTGTTGATGATGATTATGACAATAACGGTGAAAAAGATAATTTTTTTTATAAATGATTATTTCCCTATATCCATTTCTATTATAATAATATTTGAAATTTTATAATGAGTCATTTGCCTTAAGATTGTGTTTTCTTAATTATTTTAACTTTTTAAAAGATTTTTATTCACATATAACCTGTTTATGTTTTTCCTTTGTACTTTTATTGTTAAAAAACAATATTTTGCCTTTGTAAATTAGACTTTGGAGTTCCAGAGATAATTTTAACCAGAGGCAGTGAGGCTCTGAAGGTTTTTAACGAGGAATTACAAGAAGGAAGGATCACAGTAAACCATGCACGATTAATGGTGACTGGCAAAGAGGGGGTGGGAAAGACTTGTTTGGTAAACACTCTGCTAGAAAGAACGTAAGTTTCTGAAGTGCTGTATCTGTCAATGGATTTCCAATATAAATGTTGCTGTATTGCTGTACTTTTTTATACAAGTATTGTATTTTATTTGCTTTCTATATATTAAAAAAAAAATACAGTATGATGCCACGTAAATGTTATTGTTTCAAACATGCATGTACTTAATTGTCATTACCCATACATCCAACAGCATGTTTTGTTGTATATATTGTACTATAGACTGTATGTCGTACTTTATATCGAACACCTCCTTTATATTTATATGTTTGACTTCTTAAAATTGTTCATGCGATGTAATATTCAAATGTAGTTTCCTTTCTGACAATAAAGTTATCTTGTATCTACTCATCCATGTAACCACAACTCAATCATGGCACTTAAATACTGTAATATGTACAGTAATTACACTGCTCTTTTTACAGATTTAATGAAGAAGAACCATCGACTGATGGAATAGTGTTGACCACTGCTTTTCAAACTACTAATATAAGTAGTGTGTGGAAAGAGGCAGAGGACATGGACGGTATGACAAGAAACAATTTAACTTTA